GTTATCTTAACCCTAGGTCAGTCCAAATCCAATGGAATTTTTATTGTTGATTATCCTGAGATTGTAGTTTAGATTTTATTGTTTCATTGGAAGCTGAACCGTTCTGTCCCCTTGCCATCATATTTTTTAGGTTTATGTATTGCCTCAAGTTACTGAGTACAATAGTTTTTGTAAGCTCTTCGTTAAATATAATATAATTAATTAAAATTTTATAGCTTAAAAGTTATATTGGGTAAAAAATACTAATCTTATTTAAAACCACATTTAGTCAGAGAATGATAAAGTTCAATAGAAAATATTTCAGATGAAATACTGTAGTGGCATGTTATTTAAACAGATACATAGAAAATTAATTGGCAAAGTTAAGAACCTTAATGTTTTCTTTTTTTAACAACTTGGAAAATGGCACTTAAAAGTGAGACATCTGAGGCTCTAGTCCTCCCTGTTCCACACGTCTGGCAATAAAATGGTAATGAGGGTGGCAATCCGGCCATGAACAAGTACAAACTGGGTTTCATCATCCTGTTTAAGGTAACAAGTTACAGACTCTTCTCAGTATGATTGGGATGTAAAACATCATCCAAGTAGGACTGAAGGAAATAAAATAGACCAAGCTGTAATGAAAGGAAAAAAAAGAGTGGAATCTTGCCTTCTATGAATAGAGATAAATCAGTCTGGATAGATATCATTTGCTTAACTCCTGCAGGATTCAAATATACAAATGTCTTAATCACAGATTTCACCATCATATTCAGGAAGGGACAAAAAATTTCTGCCTATCTTTGCAAAGACCCCTGACGTCTGTTCTCAGTTCTGATAAATGAACAAAGGAGAAATAGGAGTAACGACACTGGGGATGACAGGAGTTATAGGTGACCGGAGATAGAGATTAAACCAGTAAGAGATTGAATGACTTTCCATGAACTTGAAAAATCACCACTCAGTTTACGCACACACTCATGCATCAAGCAAGGTGGACATCAGGAAGGAGATGATTACCGGGTCTGTGCCCAACCGAGATTCCTGCCAGCTCTCAGTGTGGACACAACGGATGACTGAGGAAGTGTAGTCTCACTGCCAAACCACAATCTTAACTAATGAGATGTTCTGATGAAACACAAAATGCTAACCAAATCAAGAATAGCTGGAATATATGGAGAAATATATATTCCTGGGGAAACCAAATGGTATCACCCTCATGTCAAATAAACCATGTCTTTAAACCTCACCTGTCACACCTACCAAATGCTTTTTTCACCAAGTCTTTCTTCTGAGCTCCAAAAGGTAGCAAGACGCACGGCCTCGCCAAAAATGTGGTCGAAATTTCTGAACCCCTGATGACCACGAAGATGTCACAGAGAAATCCCTAACATGCTCACTGCAGATGACTCATCAGGCTGAGTTAATATATGGTCCGTTCCCGAGTTCTATATAACACTCGTGTGGCTTCCATCCCCACTGTCGGTTTTTCAAACCAGTATAAAGGAGAAAAAATAACATAAATGAAAAACTCAAGGAGACCTGTAAGAGACACAAGGTAAAGAAGACTGAGATATATTGGAGAACAGGGATTACACAAAAAATGTCAAGACTCTGTAGATATATCCATCCCAAAATAAAAAATAGCAATTGCTATTCATCCTTTATATGAATTCAGACACTAGAAGAGCTACGGGATTTGTCCAGCCCCACACTTAATTGTGTTGAAACAAAACAAAAATCAAAATGTTCTGACCCCACAGGGTCAGAAACACCCAATCTACAATAATAGCAGGAGTGTATGATAAGGAGAAAAATGATTGGGAAATGAAGTAGACTGGATTTGAGGATGTCCTTTCCCTGTTGGGATTGAATTGACTTGATGACAGAAAGGTTTTGTTGTTGTTGTTGTTGTTGTTTGAATGTATATACAAAATAGGTTAAATATTGGGCTATTAATCAAAAGGTAGGTAATCCAAATCCACCAAATACTCAAGGGGAGAAAAATGAGGTAGTCTGCTTCCACAAAGATCTATCACCTAGGAATCATGTTGTTGTTGTGAGGTGCTAGCTTGTCAGTTCCTACTCACAGCGCACCTATGTACAGAGAATGAAACACTGCCCAGTCCTCTGCCATCTCAGAATTGTCCGTTTGTCTGAGCTCATTGCTGAAGCTGCTCTGTAAGTCCATCTTATCAAGGGTCTTCCTCTTTATCTCCGCCCCTCACCCATCATGAGGTCCTTTTCCAGGGACTGATCTCTCCTGAGAAGATGTCCAAAGTCCATAAGACAAAGGCTCAGGCTTCTAAGGAGCAGTTTGGCTGCATCTCTTCTAAGACTGTTGTTTTTCTTTTCTCAGTCCACAGTATTTTCAGTAGTCCTTTTTTAAGAAATCATTTTATTGGGAGCTCTCACAGCTCTTAGCACGATCCACACATCCATGCATGGTGTCAAACACATTTGTACATAGGTTGTCATCACATTTTCAAAGCGTTTTCTTTCTACTTGAGCCCTTAATATCAGCTCTTCGTTCTTCCCTTCCTCCCCTAGCCCCTCCCTCATGAACACTTGATAATTTAACTCTTTTTTTCATGTCTTACACTAACCACTGTCTCCCTTCAGCCACTTTTCTGTTG